TATATATATGTATGTATGTATATTCAATTATCTTGAAGGTTATGCAGCCTTACAGCAAATATAGCCTTCTTTCTATCTATCTGTCTTACAATATTATGCACGTATACCAAAAAACATTTTAAAGCCAATAAAGTTACTATAGCTAGAACAAGAGCAACACCTGCTAGGATAAGAAATCTGTTAAAGTGACTCATAGGATTGAATGAGGCTATGGTATCTGCTAGATTTCCCATGATGTCCGTTTCTGTCCTGGCAGGTAACTTTTTTGCAAAAGTTTCTTTAATTTCTTTCTGTAAGTCAAAATCCATTTGAGAAGCATTAGGGTGACCCAACAAATGCATCCCAATCATACTTGCTCTCATTAAATCTTAAGGGTGTGATACAATAACAAGAAACATTCCAATCACATTTTAATTTTATCTGTTCCTTCAAAATTTCAAACTGATCCCCTAACAATACGACAGCTTGCCTTAATTCAGCCAATTCATTTACTATCTCATTATCAATCTTATTTTGTTCAGTCCAAAGTTCCTCCGAATGCCTATGCCAGTGTCTGATGAATTCACGGTTTGGATTTCTTTATGAAGGGCTACTCCTGCCGTCACTGCCGTAGCTGCCAATGCAACGATTCCCACAATAACTGCAACCACCAGTCCAGCCATACGACATGCTATTTTTAATATTCCTTCAACGAGCTTCTCTACCAGGATCATCACAGGAGAACCTTGTCATGGCCTCAACTTCACTGGTATCCAGATTGCTGGCCTTGCTCTAAGAATATATAAACGTTCAAAGGTCAAATTTAAAAACATACTAGAAATAACACAGACATGAAAGGTAAACCATTCATAAGTGAGACTGTAATTATTTGGGTTCCATTGTACAGGTCCCTTTAATAGCAAGTAAGGCAATGGTACACATGCCATAAAAGGAGGGCTTTGATTTAGTCTAAAAGACAGAGTGTACTTATCATCCTTAATGTTTAACTTTCCTTCAAACACCTTAAGAGGGTGGAAGTCATTTGCCAATTTCCACAAGTTAGTCAGAATTGAATTGCCAAATTGCAGGAGAAGACTTGCCATTCCAACTCCATGCCACCAGATAGATTGATTAATAGAAGCACTGATTTCCACAGTTCCATTTATATTATACCATTTCTATCTTAACTCTGAGTGAGAATATTTCCCATGAGGGGTGCTGTAAGGGCTCCAATCAATGACGTCTCCTTTGGAGATATTAATTAGCACTCGAGGTTTCTCACTCTTACACTGTTGCTAATGTACCCAGTCAGATTCCTTGTTGGTAACCCTCATCCCACAGAATGGTAGATTTATGGAATCAGTAGCATTAATCTTCTGTCCTTTAGAACCAGATGTATGAAGCGTATGAAACTTATCACGATAATCTTGTGTAGTGATGACTATGGATAGCCACACTGGAGAGGTTATATTTAGGCACTGAATCCCACTTCCCATGCAAATAGGAATTCCTTGTGCTCCCATCACTTCACCCTCCTCCATTGGCTGAGCC